TAATGCCTGAAAAGAAAAATTCAAGGTCAACCTAACATTATAGGATAGTGCTCTCATGCCAAGTCAAATAAATAATGTCCCAAACAACATACTTTGATTCCAAGTAAGAGTTACACATATGAAAGCTAATAGGACCAAGTGGGCATGAATAGACGCAGATCAAACTTGATAAACTTTTGCTTGATTTTAATTTTAGTTATTTTCAATTAATTAATTGATCAATTGTTAACATATTTTTGGTTTGTCCAACTTCAATACTCAATAAAAAATCATGCAAATTGTTAGTGTAAAAGTGGATTGTAGAGGGATATCCGGGGCATAGTCGGTCTTCCTTTATTTGATTCTGGTTAAGCTCCGAATAGAACGTTCAATTCCACATGACACGTTGCCACTCTCTCAAACAGACCTTCTTAGGCTGGCTTGTAGTGGGAAGTCCCAGTTGCAGTTGATTGATCCCTAGGGTCATCCCGACTGTCTTGTTTCAAAAGTGTTTGGCCCACTTTGCGCCAAAGGTAGAGGAGCAAAAGCTCTAAAGCATTAGTCTGACCAGAAGATAGAATATGTGCAGTGGATATGTGTGTCGGATATAGTTCAGTATTTTAGTGTAGGGTACACAAACCAAGTGATAACACAATGAAGTACTAAAAGAAAGACACTAGATCTAAATGACAAATCCTAACAAGTAAAAGTATGAGATATAGTTCAGAGCCAAACAATCCACTAAGAAGACGAAAGAGTATAACCTTACCATTTTGGTACTCTAGAACCACTAGCCAATTGATTTATACACAAAGTAAAACCTTTGATCTCTGTTTTTGTCTTTCTACGAATCCATTTTCTTGCAATCCGTCCTTGTCTTCCTCAGTGGTTATTTTTCCTGGATCAGTTGTCCAAGCCCACCAACTCTGCTTCTCCACAATAAGAATAAATCCAACAAAAGTAGATAGTATCAAAGTAATCAATCAATGCTCCAAGACTAACATGGATGCACACATAAAGTTACAAGGTCTTATCAGTAACTCTCGAACATTTTGCGTTAAAGAATTAAAGTCTCTAACAAAGATCTCTCAATAATGTGTGCCAGTGAGAAAAATATTCAAGTCTCTTAACCTCTTCCATATATCTTTCTTCCTTTAAGTTTCAAAATTCCAAATATCCTCTGTATAGGTTTAAAATTCCTTTCCAATTCTTAGAATCACTAAAAATCAATTTAGAAACAATTCTGGACTTGGGAACTTTGTTCCTTTTTTATTTCTTCCATTTGGCCTGAGTACCTACATTCAAATTTTAAGGTTACTCTCCTGTCGACAACTACAAGTATTGATACACAGCTTTTGAATAACTGGTTACTGACACAGAACGCCTAATTTTGGGGTTTAGTTTATGAGCCAAACAAGCAAATAATAAATATTATTAAGAGATTTCAAGTATAAAAAAATTTATGTTCCAAAAAGGTGTATTAATTCAATTCTAACACCGATCCCAATGTGGTTATCGACTCTTAGCCCCCTCAAACATGTTCTAGTATTCGAGTCCAAATAAGATGCATTTTATATTTGAAAATACTTCTTGATACATCCAAACTTTATCCAAGTTGATTAGGGTTAGTAAAATTATTTATCATTTTAGTCTGAAGGTCCACTTCGTCAAACTTCTTTGTTCTATTGTGTCTCCAAGTTGATCAAGATCTTTGATTTCATATCTCACATTGCAATCTTTGTGCAATCCTTGTGTAGTTTTTATAAGTGTCTTCAATTACATCTCTCATGCAAATCAGAAGGAAATCAACATGATTGACAAACAAATACAAAGTGAACAAAACCAAACTGAAATGATTCGACCAATTTCAGTCATGTTTGGATAACAGAATTGCCAGCACGAGACTACATCGGTAAGTCTGAAATGGTTTTTGGTTCATGTGGGAGGTTGCTTAAAGTACTTTACAGTTTACTCTACCCCCTTGCATCCCTTCAGAGGCTATTCTTAAATTGATTCTGCCAGATGAGTAAGTAATGCTACGTTTGGATGGATGGATCTCAGCCAGATGGATTTGAAATTTAGAGCCCAAATCCTTTTTTACCTTGTTTGGATGCGTAATTAACCATGTTCAATTAGGTAAAATACGCACATGGATTTTAAAACCCAGAAGTGACATATCTCAAAAGGAAAACTTATCTAAGTGTTATTTTCCTAATCCATCCTAATGACATGAATCTTTCATCTTGATCTCCCCGCTCTTATATCATGATCTCAGATGTCTCCTTAGGGCTGGCTCAATATAATTTGAGGCCTTAGGCGAGATTTGAGGCCTCTAAAAATGACATGACTACATGAGTTGGACCCTTGTATTGTAATTTTTCATGTAATTCTACTCATCTTCTTAGTCGTCAAAATAGTAGCATGAAAATTCATAATAAAAAAAAGTAGTTATCAACATGCAATGCATATAGAATAGCCCAATTACACATCAAATGTTCAATACTTCATCCCCTATATTGTGAACATAATAGTATGTAAAGAACAACTTTCGATAAAAACAAACAAATTGAATTGATACTAAAGAACAAGTACACAGAAAATTCAATGCGTATTTTTTTATTCATAGTTTTAATATTACGAGTGACAAATATGATGAAAAGTTATTTTGCCAAAAGGTAGCTGAAGAATAAGGCTTTTGAGATATGTGGCCTTATTTTTGGATCCAAGTGATGCGCACTCCTTTGCTTTGACTATTTTGACAGAAGTGAAGTCTTCTGGTCAGACGTCGGTTTTCACTACCACCCATGAGACTATTTTTTATTGCCATTGAATCCTCTTCTCGTTCCTCAAATTTAGTTGAAAAGTTACAGCTTAGTTTTGTTCTCGGTTTTTAATTACAATTTGTATTAACATAGTGCTAACTTTGTTGTTGCAGAAACAAAGCAGATTCAAGAATTTAGGTTGTTTTAAGTCAGTTGAATTGGAGAAATTTCTTGTTCATGTTAACAATTGAGAAGAATTTCAAAAGAATAAGAATAAACATGACAAAAGCATATTAATAGCTGTAAAAATATTTTTATGTATACTTTAAATTTGTTCACATTGTTCTATGTATTTAAGAAAGTATATAAATGACGGATAAAAAGTTAAAAAATAAAAAATAAAAAATAAATTAAGAAAGTATATATTAAGTGATAGTGGGGCCTCTCTCAAGTGGGGGCCTTAGGCCATTGCCTCAATGGCCGAGGCAATGGCCTATAGCTTGTGTCAGCCCCTTGTCTCCTCTCTTCTTCTTTCTATCTCTCTCCTTTTCAGTTGACTTCAAAAACCCCAACTTTACCCTGAAGCATCATGCCATCTACGGTCTTCATCACTGTTGCTTTCCTCAACAAACCACAAACACATACATAAGCTTCTCGCCTATCAACGAGCCAACATGATAAGATTTGTCAGCCGATCCATATTTGTCGCCATCAAGTGTATGGTTGTTTTCAACACACTTCCCAATGCCACAGTTGCAGCCATGATCTCTGATAACCACCATCTACTCTAAAAGCTTAAGCTGTTAGAGTTTAATATTTAAATCTTCTAACAATCTCACTGCCATAATCACCATATGGTGATTGAATGCTATCTGAAGAAGTGGGAAATCATCACAGCCCAACATCCTTCCTCGATTGCCCAATGGCAATTCCATCTTTGTCTGATAAGATTGTGAAGAATAGAGAATCGAGCAGAGAGAACAGACCTAATCACAACACGAACTTGCTATTATTTATATAATTAATCCTAACAGGCTAATAGAATTTGTTTCAATATGTAGACTTGAAATCTAAGCATTTCAAATCCAAATCAAGGTTTCTGAATGCAACCTAAAAGCGCAGCCCAAAATACAAATCACTCATTTGTTAGGTGAATTAATATTCACGTTACTGAAAGTTTATCCATTAGGTGATACAGGGGTCATATTTTGGTGGGTTTCTCAGCATACAGGCTGATTTATATAGAGTCGACAGCAGCCTCTCTCTTTTTTTCACATGGAAACTCTTAATGGCTATAATCTTTTTCCAACAACCAAGTGAAATTTTTTGTACCAGTACCGTCCGGCTTGAAGGACCACAAGTATGATTTATCATATAGGAGGTACTTTCAATTATCTGGGGAAGCTATTTTCTATTCAGTTGTGGGGCCATAGCAAAATTGTGGTTAGAGGAGTGGGTCATTAATTCATATTTACTTTCTGATATTTTTAGCTGCTGTAGTGTTGATTACCTCTATTTTGACATTTCAATAATTTGTTATTTAAATGCAAGTTTCTTTAGTTGAAGAAATTTGAAATATTACGATCACTGTCCTACAATATTTGAGTTGCAAATAAACAAGAAAGCTGGACAATCTAATGGACATGGCATTTACGATACTATGTAATGTTCTTCTGGTCTTATTTGGCTCATAATCATAGTTTGTTGAATTGATACATATTGAGGAACATAAAATTATGATGTATTGGGCAAGTTTGGGATATGATGTAATGTTTTTCTGGTGTTATTTGGCTCATAATCGTAGTTTGTTGAATTGATACATATTGAGGAACATAAAATTATGATGTATTGGGCAAGTTTGGGATATGATGTAATGTTCTTCTGGTCTTATTTGGCTCATAATCGTAGTTTGTTGAATTGATACATATTGAGGAACATAAAATTATGATGTATTGGGCAAGTTTGGGATATGATCCACTATTGCGTAGATCCGAGGACTACTTTCCACACTAATTGGACCATTTAAATCATGCTGTAGTCTGATATAACAATTTAAGCTTTTCCTTTTCCTACCAATACAATAAGGTGTATGACAATTTCTAACTGAACTTGGCAGTTTGTATTTGTAATATATGTTTCTTACACCCTTGGATTGGGAGCACAACTCTAAGCTATGAAGTTTGTTCGTTGTAGTTTACATTTTCTCATGCATAACTTCAGTCATAATTATTTTTAACAGGCATCCATTACTTGTTGCAGATTATATTATTACAAGAGAAGAACATTCAGAGACTTAATGAGCTCGTGCAGAGTCTTCGAGAACAACTGCTATGGTGCAGGAGCAATAATGAGACGATGAATGGCACTGTAAGCTCGTTGGCTGAAAATGTTATGGAGCTTGAAAGGCAGCAGATTCTGGAGGATTAGACAGGGACCCTGAATTATGGTATGTGGAAGTAATGACCGTCCTTCCGCTGTTTTACTGTTTCTCATAGCTCCTTTGCGTGTAAAATTCACATAATTTACTGTTAACTGTAATCATAATGTTGGGACCAACCCACTGTGACCTGTTAATAGTGATGACTATGTAATAAGTCCATTTGTTCTAGGGTGGAAAATGGCTTCGTGGTAGTTGATTGATTGGTTTCGTTTCGAAGAATGCAAATTCTTCACCATCAGCATCGTCGTATGTGAATCAAACTATCACTTGGTTAGAAGTAATTAACTCTGCATGGAACTGGAATAGCCTGATCAATATATAATTTGATTAAAAATGATTCATAAGAACACATTTGAGTCACCTGCAATTCGTGACTCGGCGTCAGTAAATCTGGAGTGTTTAATTAGGGATATTTGGTTCTTAGCCATACTTTGGCCACTTTTGAATACACTTTGCTTAATGGAATTAATGAAAGTTGCAAGTGCTTAAGATAAAATTCGTCATACAGACAATCAAATTTGGAGCTAAGAATCAAATTGCACGATCTATTGTTGTTGCAAAATTATTGAAAAGTAATACAGGTGAGTACAGGTAAACTTGATATATATGTATTGTGATACTGAGTCTGAAAGTATACATCCGGCTACATTTACGCGAGTAGGAAATGACTTTGATGATGTCATGATGACCTTACATTCACATAAAAAATAATAATAACAATAAAATTAAAAAAAAACAGAAAAGAAAAAAAGGTGGTTGTTCGAATCCAAGACTAATCATTTTCCATATACGTATGGGTGTATGCTAAACATACACAAATTACTCTATTAGTATCTATAATTTATAAAAGTACTAATTTAATCACATATTTAAGTTAGCTCACTTTCACCTTCACTTTGATCCGGAGGAAGAAAGATTCCGATAGTACAAGTTCAGGGAGGTCAGCTGTATGTTCGAGTTTTGGAGGAGACATTGGCGCGTTTTAAAAAATTCAAGAGCAATTTCTGCACTTGATCAATTGGACCAAACTTGTCATATCATTGTCTGAATATGCATAGCACTATTTTCAGTTGTGTTTTTCTTCTTTCCTATTTTCTCTAGTTTTCTCTATTCTAAAGGTCAAATAATCTGCTCAATATCCATATCATCTCGACTCAAGTACAACCTAAATCAATTTGTAACTAAAGCAAACACCTGACATTAAATAAAGGAGCATTAATTTGTACTCTAACCACATACTCGTCTTGTTTGATATGAAAAAATAATAATAATAATAATAAATAAATAAATAAATCTGAGATACAGTACCATATATTCATAAATATGTTCTGTTAGTTTTGAACGAGTCACTCAAATCGGGTTGACACTGTCAATCAAACACGTAATGTAAATCAACAAACAAGGCCATCTCCCATTATGAGTTTAATATACAGTTAAGCATATATTGACACGATTAATAAACAGAATGTAATCGGGTTAAATAAAAAGAGAGTAATCCCATCGTCTAACCCAGTAACGAGTGGAATGCTATACAATAACACAAACTTGTAGTTGACGAGAATCTACACGCTAGACTGAAATTCCTCTCTTGTTCTTTCTTTTGGCATGACAATAACAAAAATCGCACGTCGTAACTATTCTTCAAATCGTTCAGGAGTGGTGTGCATTCAGCAATGCCCGATAAACCATGTCAATGAACTGATCATCCTATCATGCAAACAAACATCAGAAAATAAGCATCCAAAAGAATAAAGCATTAAAATAGAAACATGAAGGACACAATGAATGGTAAAACCTAATAACCTATTGTTACAGAGCCGGAGTGGGGGATTATCCTCATTAACCACAGACAAAGCCCATGGAGTCAAAAAGCTTCTTGACGAGGAGGGTGAAGGTCCTACACCGAGTCTAAAGCAGAACGATTAGACACATCTCAAGCGAAGATGTTAAAGCTCTTTCCTTTAGCATAGCGTCAATGAATTGGTTTGGAAAGTTGCCAAATTCTGCTTCAAAAATGTAGTGGTCTAAAAAAGAGATGGTTTTGCCTACCCCTGCCAGTACCTGAAATCCAATCGTGAATCTTATGCCAGTCAACTGGCTCACTCCTTATGCCAGTTTGATTTGATTTGAACAAATCAAAGCAAACTAAGCCGCACCTATCCAAGTAGATCAGATTGTTTGGGAAGTTCGTTGGTTATCCATCACTGAATGTGTGAGCCTTCTGATCTACCCTTAGCTACCAATTTGATGACCTAACTAACAATAGCCATCAAAAGGATACAAGTTCTATTTGGACCAAGATAGTAAAATTTGACTGTGTGATTATATATTATCACTTCATTCCATTTTGTATCAATGAAAATGAGTGGTCACTGATCTTAAAATGTAATCAAACGCGTAAAATGGTGCAGTTATCACTGAAATGATGACGGAATAAAAGACAACCTCAAAACAGTGGCGGTATCCTGAGCATTGCATAATTCCCCATAGTGCAATGCTGTTATTCCTTTGTTTAGCAGTTGCACTTCACATTAGGCTTCTTTCTAGCATTGAGAAGTTAGAATTTTTAAGCTATCTTTTTTAGATATTCTTCTCGCTGACATTCTTGTGACTACTTTCTTTCATTAGGCAATGCTTGAAGAAAGGTACCAAAATTTGAAGCTTGTCTTTTTATACAACTACATCATCTTTTGATGTGCTTGTCCACCATGCCTAACTTTCACCTAAATAAATACCGAGTGACGCTCTTGTGACTACTTTCTTTCATCAGGCAATGCTTGAAGAAAGGTACCAAAATTTGAAGGTTGTCTATTTATACAACTATGTCACCTTTTGATGTGCTTGTCCACCATGCCTAACTTTCACCTAAATAAATACCTTGGATATGAAATCTATTTTTGTCCAATCAAACCATTTACAGCTTGCCAAAATGTTTTCCTTAATGGGCTAATGGAAAATTGAAGGGAGATTTACATAACTAGTCAGTATTATTTCGATCCAAATGTAGAATGGACATTGACTACTCAATTTTTAATTTACACTGGCTGCCATCATTATATCCAAATGATTTGGAGACAAACTGAGTTTTAGAGAGAGAAATAGTGTGTGTGTGTGTGAGAGAGAGTGGGCGAGAGTGCAAATCAACTGAAACCCACTTTTTGTTTCCTTCTGTTTGGGAGTTTCCTCCAGGAGAGTGGGGAGCTGGAATCCGGTGATTAACAGGTATGAAAAAAGATTGGCGGCATGGAAAAAACAGTATCTTTCGAAGGGGGGGAAAGGTCACTCTTATTAAGAGCACCTTCTCGTCCCTTCCCACATATTTCTTATCTTTGTTTCAAATCCCGCGCTCTGTTGCTGAACGGATCAAAAAAATTCAGAGAGACTTTCTTTAGGGTGGAAGAGGAGAGGAGTTCAAGTATCATCTTGTTAATTGGGAGAAAGTTTGCAAACCTTTGAAATTTGGCGACTTAGGCATTCAGAAGCTAGTCCCTTTCAATAGAGCCTTATTGGGGAAGTGGTTATGGAGGTTCGGTAAAGAGCGTCATCGACAGTGGAGAAGAGTCATCTCGTGTCGTTTTGGGGAGGAGAGTGGGGGTTGGTCCTCTCGTCTTATTTCTGTTACCGAAAGCGTTGGCGTTTGGAAATTCATTCGGAAAGGTTGGAATGTGTTTTCCACCCATATTCGATTTAAGGTTCGTAATGAATGGCTTATGGTGTGGTGATCAGTTATTGTCTCTTTCCTTTCCTCGTCTCTTCAGAATTGCCGAGAATAAGCATGCTTACGTTGTTGACTGTTATCATCTTGATAGCAGTGGAGTTACGTGGGACGTGCGTTTTAGGCGTTCTTTTCAAGATTGGCAGATGGCAGAAGTATGCGTTTTTTTGGACCTGTTGTATAGACAGAAGGATGTTGGCAGAGGTTGTGATGACATTTTGTGGATCCCCTCCACTCATGGTAGATTTGGAGTACGATCCATGTTCTTGTGCTTGTCTAATTTTGCTGGACAAGATTTCCCATGGAAGTGTATTAGGCGCTCTAAAGCTCCTCTTAGAGTCGCTTTCTCTATTTGGACTGCTACTTAGGGAAATATTCTAACATTGGATGCGCAAGAGAGGTAATACCATTGTTAACTGGTGTAGTCTTTGTAAAACAAATGGTGAGTCCGTGGACCATATTCTTATGCATTGTCCTGTTGTGTCTGATTGTTGGAATCTCATTTTTAGTATTTTTGGCGTTCAATGGGTAATGCCTAAGCATTCTATTCAATAAATTACGCTTGGAGAAGATGCCCTACTGGTCATGCTCGTGATTTTTGGAGGATCGTCCCCCACTTTGTTTGGTGGTGTATTTGGAGAGAGAAATAACAGAAACTTTGACGAAAAGGAATCATCTTTAGCAAACTTAAAATCTCATGTTCTTCGTTCTCTTTTCTGTTATGTAAGAGGTAGCGCTTGCTCCTCGATTGATGATTTTTTTGATCTTTTGGACTCTGTTGGTCCTTAAGTCTTTCGTTTCTGTGTATTAGGGACGCGTTCACCTTTTGAACGCTTTTCTAATATATTTTTTACTGGTCAAAAAAAAAAATCCAAATGATTATATCCAAAAAGCTCTGCACAATCACCAGCAATTATGAGAATTCAGCATTTAAGAATCCCAGCAGAAGCACACAATAAATTTATTTATAGCTATCATTCAAAGCTTTAGACACTTCCGCTACAGTACACATGAAATTGATTTCTAATTAGCTACTACCACAATAATCCGACAGTTCAGTGTGCAACTCATGTTAGAAAACAAGATGAAAAAGGATAACTAAATGCACAGGTAGACAATTATGAGCACAGAAAGTGACATGCCTGAACAAGTATTAGAAGTGCATCCCGGACTTTGTCTCTGTTAATAACAGGCCCACAGTTTGGAGTAGGAATAAAAGTCGGAGTAAGAGATGGTGGGGGAGTGGGTGGAGGAAAAGGCTGAAGCAAAGGAGCACCGTATGGGCGTTGTACACTCGTAGGAGGGTGAAGTGGAGGAGCAGTAGGCAAAGATGGTCTAGGAAACGGCATAACCAACCCAGAAGAGGAAGGACCAAAAAATGAAGATGGCTTTACAAGATTAGTAGCACGATTGCTAATGCTGCTGGGTTCAGGGGCATCAACGGGAAGTATCGAAGGAGTAGAGGTTAACAGAGAAGGAGATGGTACCTTGACGGGTAGCTGGATGGTTGGTATTGTGGGGGGAACAACACTGGGTGGGCGGGGAGGGATTATTCCAGAAGACTGGTATGGTTGTCCGGCCATTGCTGCACTTGAAGCATTTCCAATAGTCATAGCTGCCTGCAAACATATGGTAGGAAGATTCGGTCATGGTCACGTAGGAGGTTAAAGAAGTTTCCTCTTAACATGTCTAATAAAAAAGACTTCATACAATCATATACAAACTAATTTATGCAATTGTACAAATCTGCACAAACAAATCATCACCTTAAGAGAAAAAGAAAATAGTTACTTTACAAATATGAACTGGAACATACAGCATAAAAAGATTATAACAGCAATGAAACTTCATATCTTTGGATAAAGATTCCTGCTTCAGATCATACAAGAGGGATCTTCATTTGGCGACAAGAGAGAAGCACACACTTGCAATTGACTCTTAAGGGCAGTAAACAGAAACCTTAGGGATCAACTTCTTTCAAAGAGGAGGAGTAGGAGGAGGGAACAACATCTGACACATCAGTATAAACATCAAGACAAAAATCAATATTCACCATGAAGGAATTCTTAAATATCCTCAGCCTTGATACGTTGAAAAACAGTTGAACTTAAGTTATGATGTACCTCAGGGAAAAGCTGGAAGGGGAGGCCCGAGTTACACTGTGCCTCAACGGAGGCAAGTGTAATTTCTCACAATAAAAAAATCAACTGTTTTTCCATTACACACCTGATACTAGGCAAACGTAAATTACACGCCTGATACTAGGCAAACATAAATAGCTAATCTTGTCTCATGATGCACAAATTTTTACAGTATTATTGAAATATTTCGTATTGATCATAGGAAAAAAGCGCCACAACATTTAAAACTACTGGAAATCTTTACATGCATTGCTACGCCTGTTGAGAGAGAGAGAGAGAGAGAGAGGAGGGATTTTTTTTTAATTTTTTATTTATACCCAACACTAAATTTACACAGATATTTCACTACTGTAATTTCAGAAAAAAGTCCAGAAGTAAATTAGAACTAGGTGTTGCACAATTTTGAAAATAAGACTTTATAACAACTAAGTGTAGCAGCAATATGATATCCCTCGAGACAATAAGGAATTGTGGAAAAATTAAGATACATAATACATCATACCATAAGAGTCTGAAATCAAAAATCATTTGAAGTTATTGGATCTAAATAGTAATGTTAGAAGAGTGCATACACTGAAGAAGTTCACAAAGGAAGGGTCATCAGGAACATCTGCGACATTGGAGGCAGTTGATGATGATGGCTCCAGAGGACCATCCATTACCGCCATAGTCGGGATTGCTTCCAGTTCTTCAAACTCACTGTAATTTTTCCAAAAATTGTTGTAAACCAGCATTAAAATTGTGCAACAAGCAGAAGCATCATGGATGAATATTAGTTGCAATGGTAGAAGCCAAAGCACATTCCAGAAGGGATAACATGAAACATGGATAACAGCACAGGTTGGAAGACAGGTTACAAGGAAGTAATTACAATATATATATATTTATAAGTAAAGTATTATAGACAGAGCTCAAAAGGGGAGCGCATCCCAAGAACTATACAAAGACCTAACAGACACTCAAAGTATCAACAAGAAAGTAATCACAATATTGGACTGGTAAATGTCTAGCGTCAACTTTATACTTATAGCAGGAGCAGGAAAACAAAACGAACAACCCAGCATATGTTCAGAAAAGAAGAGCAGAAGCTTAAGACAGAATACATAATCACATTGCACTAAATAAGAAGAAAAAATTACAAGGAAACAATCACAGCTAGGCAAATAGCTGTATCAGGAAAAGCCTAAAGCAAGAAGCATCAAAGAAAATGCCATTATCAGCATGACCTCATGTAGGCAACCATGAATCGAAGTGTCACCATTCGGGCCACGAAGCCCGATGGGCCTGGCATTGCACACTTATTTCAATTTTGTTTTTCTTTTTATATAGAACTTTTAAATCTTAATGCTTCTCTTGGGTTTGAATTCACAAGCACCCCTTTGAGGGGTGGAGTACAAACCACTCAATCCCAGACATTCGTTCTTGAAAAGTTTACCTATAAGTTATTTATATATTAGTTTTATAATATATAAATTATATATTATTTGAATAATATATTACTCACAATTTTTGAATATAATAAAACTTACTTTATTTCCTTCTGGAAAGCGTAATACCTTTTTTCTTATTTTTTTAAAGCTTAAACCTACAAGCTGTTGATAACCTTCACGCACCATATGATGCAGTCTTGCAGATATTCATTTGTGAATTGCACATGATCACATATGCATGCGTCATACGAGGGGAAAAAAAAATCCTAAACCAGCATACAAACGTCTTCAACTTAAACTTCAAATAGTAACATATATTATAACTACAACTATGAAAATTTGTGAGAAAATCAATGACCTTGTTGAATGGGGTGGGCAAATCAACCTTTAACATGCAAAATACAACAACTGAATATGATATAGATCTTAAGAATGAGGTTTTTACTTTTTATTTCTACAAACATTCCATGTAACTATAAGAGCAAAATACCACAATAGTATTAATATTTCTTTTTTCTTCATTGAGTATAAATATCCAATATCTATTGATTCATAGTACTCAACTTAATAATTCGAAATTGAATCGAATTACTTCAAGGCTTATCACCATAACTCAATGTTTCACCACAAATGAACCAAGAGTTTTATAATGTTTTGACTCAACTTATTGTGCACATCTATTTGTTCTTCATAGTGCAATGTTTGTTGCACATGAGTTTTATTATGTTTTGACTCAATTTATTATGTATATCTATTTGTTCTTCGTAATGAAATGCAATGTTGGTTGCACAGCATGTAGATATTACATGTCATTAAATTGTTTAAAATCATGCAACCATTGCTACATAGAACAAAAAAACAGGTCAAGAATATCAATATTAAAACAGATCAAGTTTGTTAGATGCTCTTTTGTTACTATCTTGTGGAATCTGTGGAAAGAGAGAAATTGCAGAGTGCATGGTGGTGCAATCAGATCTGCTTCTCAGCTTGCTACTGATGCTGTTATGGAATCAACTTCCATTATGGGGTGACAACTTAGTTTATTTATGTTAGTTTTTCTATTTCCAATATTTGATGTATTAGTAGGGGTATGCCCCTGCTTTCTCTTTTGTACTATTGTTCTTCTTCTTCTTTTTTCCCAATAATATTATCTGTTGCTCTTTCTTGACTTCAAAGAATAAAAATATGTCATCAATTGCATGAACTAGTAATAACAATAAATTATTACCTTTTTGTTGAAGACACCTTTGACTTTGGAGGCACCTTGGAGTATGCATTCAGTATCCTGGCGATATGCAGGTGAATTACTTTTTAATGTCACAAAAAGGTGAAATACAAGAAACCAAGTGTAACAGTAATTTCTAGAAGCCCTCTTATATGTATAAAAATAATATGCCCCATTGCTCGAGAAATCATTAATAAACTAAACATAGGTGACATAACCGACTTAGCAAGTGGAAAATATATAAAAATACAAAGCTAAAAAGAACTCAACCACGGTTCACATTTAGAATAATGATAAGCAACAACTATTTCTTAAAGTTCAAAACGAAATCAAAAAGATTAAAAGTTACGGAATATTGGATGAAAAAGTAGTCATTAAAACAGTTAACTACCATCCATCAGTCCAAATTCTATGAAACCAGAGTTACCAGACTACTAGATTTCCGACCAATTGAGGCATAATAAGTTTAAATCCAAAAATATCCAAATAATTTGAGGAAAGCTGATCCTAAAGAATATGTCAATTATACCTTTAAATTCAACTTTAAAATAGATCTCTTACATACATGTGGTGATGGATGATAGTCATGTCAATAGTCCAAATGCATTTGGGACATGGGAACATGAATATTTTTGTTTTCTTAGGGAAAACAAAAATATTCAAAGGGGAAAACAAACAACATGAAGGGGGAGAAGATCTGAAGAATGTAATCACACACACGAACACTGCAAATGATTATACGGGCAATTGCTGCTCTCACTCCAATACCTGTCCCATCCACTAAGTGATGCAGGGAGACGGACAAGAGAGCTGCAACAAAATCATGCTAATGATTCTTGCGTTTACCTGATTATATATCATAATAATGAATTATACGATAAATTGTACCAAGCTTCCCAAAGTTGAGCTTAATGACACAAAACCAAATAACTGAATCTATTTCTTGACATATTATTAGATAATGGTTGACAATAATTGCAAAAGTTTACTTTGATTAGAAGAGATAACTTCTCTAACCACCGGATTAAGTCAATCAGCCAACATGACGGAAGTTGGATTCGTCCAGTCCATTATAAATTCATTGTCAACCAAAGATATCAAAACATATCAATATAGTTTGGTTCTATTGAGTTAGAATGTGAGAACTCAAACTACACGCTGCAGTAATAGGATAATAACAATACCTGCTGAAGAGAGTTGCAACCTCTTCACATTCGCGTGCATTGTAAAACCATATACCATTTACTTCTTGGGCTGCATTTCGATATAATAGATATGGAACCTGGACTTCATATTCAAAATCTCCCAAGAGATTCTCCACCAAATTATCTGCTCATATCCAGATTAACACATTTTAATACAACTAAATTGGAAAGGGATGCTAATTTGAAAGGCATCATTTCAACTTTTGGAACAACATGCTAAAATTCCAAGGAAAAATACTAAATGACACATGATTATATGACATGATTTATCTGAGGTCTCAAACTCATGTACTTGATATTTACAGTAGGTATAAATTACCGTATTGATATATCAACCATACAGAAAATGAAAATTATGCTTTCTTCTTCATTTTCCACTGATCAGGGTCATAATATTTTGATTCATTGATAATAAACATGAAATATTCAAAACCGAGAACAAATTATTTGTTAAGGGAATGATTTTATTTTATTTTACTTTTATTTTTTGATAAGTAAAATTTCAATAAGAGCACTCAAAAGGGGAGCGCGCCCAAAGATATACAGAAACCATTAAACACCCCAACTAGCCACAAGAACCTATACATTCAAGCTATTAACAAAGTCAACCACTTCAACTAAGGATTTACAATTCCACCCTTTTTCCCAAAAGAATAAATAACTCACCTTCTATTGGGTTTTGATGTTGAGTTTGTTTGGGTTGCGTGGGTTATGCCCAAGTCTTCCGGAGAATTGGTTGAGGCTTGGAGAGGTTGTATAGTGGGGCCCCAAGCTCGCGACTTCTAGAGGGTCATGCCTTTATGCGTATGGTGGTGTTTATGGCTTGGAAGAAATAGATCTTTTGAAGGGGAGGAGACCCTTATTGGTGCGCTGAAATTCTCTATTATTAGCACTCTTTTTTGTTGGGTTCTAGGGAGAAATTGTAAATCCATAGATGAGATTGTTGATTTTTTGGACTCGGAGAGAGTTTAGAGGCCCTATTAGGCCTTGTATAGTATTTGGGGGACTTCTTAATACAATTTTACTTATCCAAAAAAGAAAAAGAAAAAAAAGGACCTTCTATTCCTCTCCCCACACAAACCCCCCCACATGCAAAGTGGGGTAGCCTGCTAAGTATCTCAAGCCAAAAAACCAACTATACATTCCCTCCAAGACTCAAGCACGCTCCACGGGGTACTTGGAAACAACCACAAAACTCCAAAAAAGAGCGAGGAACATGGCCCACACATTTCCATCCACCATGCACTAAAAGAAAAAGATGATCCACTGTCTTTTCATCCCTCTTGCGCGTGCAACACCAATTCACCATTATATTACACCTCTTCATCAAATTATTAATGGTCAGAATCCTCCCTAGAGCGGCAGTCAATCCAAAGAAAGCAACTTTTTAATGGGGGCGTGGCTTTTGATGGGGGCTTTGGTGCACCAAACTGCTTTCCACGGAGAGGCATGTATTTCATTTATTTGTGTTTAAGAAAACAAGAATACTCCTTATAAAATGAATCCTAAAGAATGGAGGCGGACATAGAGAAGCCACAGATCAATAAGGTATGATAAGAATATGGAGAAGGTGCAATTCACAAGGCATAATGAGGCTATTCTCGGGTTCCTGAATAGGAAACGATAAGGGCAGTATGAGAAATTAATTTTGCAATAACATTTTAAATTCCAAGCAAATATTTAAAATTAAATCTTATGCCTCTCTATTGCAGATCAATCAGTGAAATTTTTATTTTTACTTTTAGGGTAAGTTGCAATTGCCCCCTCAGATTTCTAGGAATTAGCAAGTAAACCTACTTTTCAGAAACTCCAAATCCCCTTTGACTAACAAAATAATTGGTTTACTCTCCCATATGTAATGAAAGTGAACTTTTACCAATATAACATTGTTTGAATAGTTAGGGATCAAAAATTCTTTTTATAATAAAACTAAATAGCAAACACAATATCCAATATACTTTCTACTTATCAATATATATATATATATATAAAGAGAGAGAGAGAGAGACAGAAAGGGAGACAGAAATTAGCAATGCAATTGACATTGGCCTATTGCAAGCTCCATTGGAAAGAGACATTCCTCCTTCACAACCTATGTGAATGGGCATGACAAAATTCTGACTTCATAGTGCAACTTCAGTGATTTGTCTATGTGGGATTTACCTAGACATCAAAGAATGCAAGAATTGGCTATTTGGAATCATATTGTTTGGTTAATTGGTTCTCTACCAACACTACTTGGCATGCTTCCATACCTTGGCTTTCATTTCAATGCAGATTGCAGAATGAATATTCGAGTCAAACTGCTCTTTTATGGTGTTATTTAAAAGAATTACTTGTGTTTCCTCCAGGCTTGCAGCAATAGTTAATATCAAGTGGAAGGAAACAAAATGCCTTATATTCTAAATATATATAGAGATGCGCATTCTATATAGAAAGAAGTTGAAAATGCAGCGACCTCCAGACTTTGTTCCCTTAAAAGAGTGACAAATTCTCGAACCAACAATAGGTCACAGTCCCACCTCCAGATTCCCTTTTTTTTTTTTTTTTTTTTTTTTCTCTCTTTTCTGTTTTTTCTCTCTCATTTTGGCCTTGATAGATTGGCTTTCATCTGCTCTATAGAAGGGAATCCAGCCATTTTTATGTTTCTTCTACTTCCCGTTTTGTAGACCTCGGGTTAAAAAGTTTATTTCCAATTCCTGTTAACAATCTTGTTGGCATGACTTTTGTTTCAATTTGAGCCATTTTTGTGTGGACCCAAAGAATGTTATGATTTCTGTAATTAGTGTTCTGTAATTAGTGTTCAGCGGGTTCGCCACCCATACTCGTGTAATTATTTTACCTTAGTTTATTCAAACTTTTCACCCTTACCAAAAAAAATCAGCATATGAAGTAATACTATACGATATAGAGTAATATAGATCAGAAGATAGAGTACAAACCAGTATTTCGTCGGTTCATTACAATGAACTGGAATCGAGGTTGAGCATTCCTAAGATAACAACAAAAAACCAATGTTCACAAATTTGCACAATTGATACTAATGGAGTTCTTGATAGTTAAGTGACACCATCACCACACACATAAGACGACAAAGATCAATTCTGAGCACCAAAACATGACGGACACCAAATCCAACAAACTACATCGAAACCCTAAAAAATACCATCCAAAAATCCAACCTTTCAAAAATTAATATTACCTCTTAACAACGAACAAAGACCCTTCGACATCCTTGCGACTCTGAAAACGAAAATTTCACAGTGCAAAAATTGAAATAAGAGAGAGAATATATAAATATATTATACAAATACACATATATGCATATATGGTGAGATGACAAACCCATTGGCTAAGCTCGATGTTGAATTCGTAGAAGGTGACATGAGCGGCAGTGATGAGAATCTCCTCGACGAAGGGATCAATTCGCTGAAGAACGGTGAGGTTTAGGAGTTTGGTGCTCTCTTGATCCAGATTCGGCATTAATTTGCCGTTCTGAGACATTTTCTACATATATATTTATATGTATACACACTTGTGTGTGTTTGTTTCTCGAGAAAACGGATAAAAACCCTAGTTTTAGGTTGACAGCCCTCGCAGGAGAGCAAGACGAGGACTGCTTCCAAGAGTGGAGAGGAGAGAGGACACCTGTTCCGGAGATAGGCCGACGAACTAACTCTACACTGTTAAGTGACCAAAATACCCACGCTCTAACTGCTAGACGGGAATGCAACTCCGGCCTAAAAGGTTTTTCATCCTCAATTTGATTAGTATAAAAAATTATTATTTTTATAATTTGAATAACCTAAAAGGTAATTTATTATTTTAAAAACATTATTATAAGTTCATATAAAAATAAAATAAAAAAAATTTAGAAAAGTTTTTCTTTTATTAACTTGGGGAGTCTGAGATGGCACGAAGCGTTAGGGTCCGTTTGGATGGCGATAACATTATATGTTATGGTTTGGTATGATATGAAAACAACTGTTTTGGTATTGGTATGTTTTTAGTAGAAATCGGATCCATGTTTGGTAACGATTGTTTTGTTTTTAATAATTGTATATCAGAAACATGATAACCCGTTTGGTATTGTCATGCGTTTTAAGGAATCCGAAAACAAAACACGTTTGGGAATAGTGTTTTGTTATTAAAAATTCTGAATCAATAATAGAATACCTGTTTGGTAAAGACTGTTTTGTTTTGTTTTGAAAAATTATATATATAAATACAATTATAAGTTTATATGTAAAATAGTCCATTTTTCTTTATGATTTGAGATAATTTGTGAAAAAAAAAAAAATCTGCATTAGAGTTGGGAATTTTTTTTTTTGTTAAATTTACATGTATAATGGCAACCAAACTACTTTGTAATAATGAATAAATCTGCATAAACATGATTAATGGCAACCAAATTACAAATCTAACTTTGTAATAATCTTTCAATAAGAGTAGATCTTTGTACTCCATTTATCTTTTTCTTTTGGCTTGCATTCCATTTAACTTTGTTTTGTTTCATATATATATATATATATATATATATATATATATATATATATATATATTCATGATGAATGTGAGAGAGAGAGAGAGATCCTTGTAGTTGAAACTAACAAGAAATAAAGCCAAAACGTTAATCGTCTTGAATTGGTCAGAGTTGAAATTTGGTGAACATTGAAGCTTATGAATAGTTTTACTTCACTTAGATTAGTTTGAAATTTTGTAGTGGAGGTCCTTCAAATTGGTCATATTTTTTTTTGTTTAGTCATAAGACCATTTCCCCTTTTGTTGAGTATTTGTTTTGATAACGGACTTGTGAATATTTCATACAATATCCAACCATAAGCAGAATTGATAAATATGAATAAAGATTAAAAGTAAGCAATCAAGGAAGATCCCTCTTACAAGACTGAACAACATTCACATATATACTTCCACGTATAGTTTTGCTTTATACATCACAATCTTAAGAACTTGAGTGTTGCACTATTCACATATATACTTCCACATATAAGGAGCTAGACATTCCTTTAAAATAGTATATGTGTACACACACACTTCATTACACTTACATAAAATGTACACATAACTGGAGATCACTAATATTCATTCCATAAAATGTACACCCACTTTTTTATACTTGCATAGGCCTCCATTTGATTAACTTAGAGATTACTAGCTTTCTGGAGTTGCAGCAACTGGAGAATGTTTCCTATCAATCCCACTGGTGTCACTGCCTACAACTTACTGCCATGTCCTTCAATGTAGTATCAAAAAATGAATTTGAATGTAAAACAAGACATTACCTATAGTAGCAAAATATAAAGCAGAGTTAAATTTAATTTTTATTATTTTTTTTAAAAAAAATCCGATATGACTTCCCCTTAAAAATGGACATTTCCAAAATTTCAAAACACAATAAACCCAAGGAACACCGCCCACAAAATTAATTCAATAAAGGACACCGCCCACAAAATTTATTTAACAAGGGACACCGCCCACAAAATTATTTCAACAAGGGACACCGCCCACAAAATTCATTTAACAAGGGACACCGCCCACAAAATTATTTCAACAAGGGACACCGCCCACAAAATTCAATTAATAAGGGACACCGTCCATAAATTTAATTCAAGCAAGATATATCTAACCTTCTTTCAGGCTAAGCTGCAAATTTGGAGTGTAAATGACCTCATGCAAAACAAAACACATGAAGAACATTAGAGAAAAACAAAATAACACACGGTAGGAATGAAATAATTAGAAGTAGTAAACAAGATATATCTAACCTTTTTTCAGGCTAAGCTGCAAATTTGGAGTGTAAATGACCTCATGCAAAACAAAACACATGAACAACATTAGATAAAAACAAAATAACACACGGTAGGAATGAAATAATTAGAAGTAGTAAACAAGATATATCTAACCTTTTTTTCAGGCTTAGTTGTAAATTTAAAGTGTAAATGACCTCATGCAAAACCAAACACATGAATAACATTAGAGAAAAACAAAATAACACACGGTAGGAATGAAATAATTAGAAGTAGTAAACAAGATATATCTAACCTTTTTTTCAGGCTTAGTTGTAAATTTAAAGTGTAAATGACCTCATGCAAAACCAAACACATGAATAACATTAGAGAAAAACAAAATAACACACGGTAGGAATGAAATAATTAGAAGTAGTAAACAAGATATATCTAACCTTTTTTCAGGCTTAGTTGTAAATTTAAAGTGTAAATGACCTCATGCAAAACAAAAGACATGAACAATATCAGAGAAAAACAAAATAACACACGGTAGGAATGAAATAATTAAAAGTAGTAAATAAGATATATCTAACCTTTTTTCAAGCTTAGTTGTAAATTTAAAGTGTAAATGACCTCATGCAAAACAAAAGACATGAACGACATTAGAGAAAAATAAAATAACACACGGTAGGAATGAAATAATTAGAAGTAGTAAAGAAGATATATCTAACCTTTTTTTTTCTCTAATGTTTCAAATAGAGTGTAAATGACCTCAGTAGCAAATTTTACAAATACCCTAAAGCTCACTCCCAAAATGACAGAGAAGATAACACAACAGCAACTAATACGCAGTTCAAAATATACCATTTAAGTATATATTACATACCAAATGAAACACAGGAAATTAACTAAATACGTATTACATGTCATATATTACAAAAGATAGAAGTTTATCTAACTTCATCTTTCAATAACAATGATAATGAGCAATAAGAGGACAATCACAATAAACATGATTGTGATAGCAAGACATCCACAACCTAGGAAGAGCACGTACTTCTGTCTACATTGTTCATTTTGAATCATTGCAATGACTCTGTCCAAGTCAGATTGAACCTGTTCTTCAACTTGTGCACCTTGGTGCAACTCATCCACCCACATAAATGCATTCATATGTGACTACAAGAAATATAAATTATACAATTAGGAAACAGTAACAGAAATAACACCTAAAAGTAATTGACCATACCTCCCGAGCTGGACACCTATAGAATTGTCGACCATCATTTTTTGGAGTTCGAGCCCTATACAGATGCATAGGACCTCTAGCACATGCACATTGTGGTCGCTCACCTTCAAGCCTATACATAAGTGCGCCTACAAGTACTAAAGCATTTAATATTTGATATCCTAATATAATTAGTTATTACAGTTATCCATAAATAAGGAGCATCTGAGTTTAATTTACGTAATATAATTAGTTATTATAGTCATCCATATTTTAATTCTACACACTATTAGACAGTTTAATAATTAGTGATTACAATGCTCCCAAATTAGGTTGGCAATACCATCACGATAAATATCCATTTGTCGTATCTGTGTATTAGTAGCACTGACCATCTGAACATCGTCATCCACATCAGGTTCATTTTGTGAAGATTGAGGAGTTTCAGAATAAAAAATTTCATCAGATTCACCTTGAGATCTTATGAAATTATGCAATGTACAACAGGCAATGACAATAAGAACTTGAGTGTCAAAGTGATAAGGGGGCATTTGCTTCAATATAGCGAATCTCATCTTTACCAACCCAAAACATCGCTCTATGATATTCCTCAATGACGAGTGCCTATGTACACCTCTTCTCTACCACGTGGTCCTCTAGTATGTCTACGATATTCCTGCATATGGTAACGTTGACCTCGGTAAGGAGCCAAAAACCCCGGTTGATTGGCGTACCCAGAGTTGACTAAATAAAACTTACCTGTCATATTAAGTATGTTAAGTATTAAAATTAACGTATTTGTAATGTTAAATGCACAAATATGGAAACTTAATATTTTTACCTTCGGGTGGTGATGGAAAATTGAAATCCTCATTCTGAATGCACTCATTTAAAATCTTCGAATCATTAGCAGACCCTTCTCACCTTACTAGAATGTATGTGAATTTCATATCAAATGAACACACGGCTATGACATTTTGGGTCGTATCACCCTTTCTACCACGAAAGGGTATTTGTTGGTCAACTGGCACTGCAGCATGGATATGAGTACCATCTATGACTCCTACACAATTCTTAAGTATGGGTAAAACTTTGGATTGTTCTTTATCTCTTTAGGAATTTCATTCAAATCCGGGGGAATAATAATCTTAGTCCCTAACTCACAAATTAACTTTAATACAATATGAAAGTGATATGAAATTGTGGATGTAGAGTGTTGGAATCTTTCAGCAACGACACGATTCCTTTCATTGTGAGACACGGTAAGTAGGAAAATTGCAACTTGTTCTTCTACCATTAGAAATGTTGAATCTTTCAATCCTAACAATTTCAACTCACGACACAATGCCCTAAAGGTGTTGGGGTACATCCGAAAATTTTCATAACAACTATCTTCATGTCCATTTAAGACCTCGAATATGTAATATTCCCCTTGTAACATGGAATCCCTACAACGTTATTTATCAAAATGTTTATAATAGTACTCATATACGGCTGCGATCAATACAAGAATTTCCTCCTCATCATCATCATCATAAATGGTTAATATTGTCCTTATATCCATAGCTACTATCCTATTTAAGAATAAATAGAAGCAGTTATTGTAACAAAAATTAAGCAAAATGGAAAAGACATACCAAATCATACAATTATCCAGCAACAATGTAAAAGCAA